TGTATCTGAATTGTGGTGCTGGAGAAAAATATTGAAAATACCAAAAGGAAAATACCATGGACTGCTAAGAGGACAACCCATCTGTATTGGAAGGCAGCCAGAGTGCTCCTTTGAGGCAAGACTTCCTCTTACATACTTTGGACATATTGTCAAGAGTCCCTGGAGAAGGGCATCGTGTATGATAAAGTGGAAGTGGAAGCAAAAAAAGGTAGGTTCTCAACGAGCTGGATTGACACAGCGCATCAATGGGCTCAGGCATAGGAACAATTGTAAGGATGGCATAGGACCGAGTACTTTCATTCTGTTGTGCATACAGTTGCTATGGGCCGGAGGTGACTCGATGGCACCTAACAATTGTGATATTTGTGTTACAGCAGCATTAAATAACCAAGAGAGTGATGATTGTTCTAAGTTCATGCACCGATTCGGTCAGAGGATCATCAAATACTTGATTCTTAATAAAAGAAAAAGTGTTTGGGGCTGCTTTTAACTAAAGAGCTAAAGGGTGTGATATAAATTAGGTGTTACTTTATGAAAACAGTTCTTTTATTCATGATACTGAAAATCATCTATTAAATGTTAGAAACCTATGTGACATGATATACATATACATGATTAAAAGATGGGATTTCCATGAACTTAAAGCATCTTCATATTGTGTGTATACAGACACACACCTTTATATATATGCATATACACACACAGACACATGGTATAGCCTACTCAATGTACCTAGTGGGCACAGTATAAAATATGACAAAATAATAATTTATAAATTACCAAGGGTTCATAAGGGAGGGGGTGCGGGGGAGAAAGGGGAAAAAATGAGGAGCTGATACCAAGGGCTCAAGTAGAAAGCAAATGTTTTTTTATTTTTAAAAATAAATTTATTTGGATTACTACAATTCTTATCACAATCCATACATCCACTGTCAAGCACATCTGTTGCCATCATTCTCAAAACATTTGCTTTCTACTTGAGCCCTTAATATCAGCTCATTTTCCCCCTCCCTCCCTACTCCCTCATAAGCCCTTGATAACTTATATTTTGTCATATCTTACACTGTCTGATGTCTCCCTTCACCCACTTTTCTGTTATCCATCCCCCAGGAAGGAGGTTATATGTAGATCCTTGTATTTGGTTCCCTCTTTCTACCCCACCTTTCCTCTACCCTCCAGGTATTGCCTCTCACCACTGTTCCTGAAGGAGTCATCTGTCCTGGATTCCCTGTTTCCAGTTCCTATCTGTACCAATGTACAGATCTGGTCTAGCCAGATTTATAAGGTAGAATTGGGATCATGACAGTGGGTGGGGAGGAAGCATTTAGGAACTAAAGTTGTTTCATCGTTGCTACCTTGCAACCTGACTGGCTTGTCTCCTCCCTGTGACCCTTCAGTAAGGGGGTGTCTAGTTGCCTACAGATGGGCTTTGGGTCTCTACTCTGCACTCACCCTCATTTACAATGAGTTTTTGTTCTTTGATGCTTGATAGCTGATCCCTTCGACACCTCGTGGTCACACAAGCTGATGTGCTTCTTCCATGTGGGCTTTGTTGCTTCTGAACTAGATGGATGCTTGTTTATCTTCAAGCCTTTAAGACCCTAGACGCTATACCTTTTGATAGCCCGGCACCGTCAGCTTTCTTCACTATATTTGCCTTCAGTGATCATATCGGGAAGGTGGGCACCCACTGATAGAATTTTTTGTTTTTTGATGTCTGAAACCTGGTCCTTTCTATACCTCGTGGTGACACAGGCTGGTGTGCCTCTTCCACATGGGCTTTGATGCTTCTGAGCTAGATGGCTGCTTGTTTATCTGCAAGCCTTTAAGACTCTAGACGGGAAGCAAATGTTTTGAGAATGATGGTGGCAACAAATGTACAAAAGCGCTTGACACAATGTATGTATGTATGGATTGTGATAAGAGTTGTACGAGGCCCCAATGATTTAAAAAAAAAAAAAAGCCCATGATTAGGCCTTAAAACAACCTACCTTTAGAAGCAGCTTATCTAGTTTCACATCATTGTACTTAGGTGATCAGATTAGCTGTAACACTTGAAATTTATTCTTTCACAAAACAATTGAAGATTAGTGAATGTGTCCTGTTACCAAGACTCCAGAGTTCTTAAAACCATGGCTCGCTGATCATGATTGTCTTAATTCAGTTCTTATTTATACTTTGATGATGTTGAGCACATACTACTCTCCTGTAAGGATTATGTATTGATGTAATTGTCAACCAATCAAAATTATTTTTGTTCAGTTTCTGATAAAATTATATATAAGTTCCCTAAGAATTATATATATATATATGTGTGTGTGTGTGTGTGTGTAAAAAATCTTAAGGGATATATATATCTATATCCCTTAAGATTTTAATCAGAGCAACTAATTTACTTGGTAGTACTCTGATGCCTTAATTTAATGTTAGTTTAAAAAAACATTTTTTTCCTGGGGGGGGAAAAATTTTTTTTAAATAGATAAAAGGAATCACAAGCCGTGTATTTTTCAGTAGTCACCAGAACAACGTAAGAAAGGAACACACTGCAAGCATCCCATTAGACTTGAGCAGCACGGACAGTGGGCCACAAAAAGGCAATGCCGGCAGCAGCTCACCTCTGGATTAACACAGAAGAGTGACGGGTACTCCCCACTCCTGCCTGGGCAAATGTAGAAATGTACCCAACAACAAACTTGCTTTGTTACCTTGGTTATGACCTAGCCTTAAAGTATATGCTAGAAACCAGCAAAGGTATGCAAGAGAATTTATTTAGTTTTGTGAGGTTTGCTTTTGCAACAATACATACCCTTGGCACAGAAGACCTTACTGAATTTTCATAAATGATCTAAAATTAAATATTTACGTTGATGTTATGAGACTTATAAAAGTTTGAGAAAGTTTCTAGGTTTAGGATTTGCATACATGATCACATCAAAAAGAAAACAATCTACGGACAAGATTTTTTAATAGTCCTCAAAATATAATAAATTACAACTTATAATCACACATTTATTCCTATTCTATATTCACTTTATTTTCCAGTTTAAACTCTCTGACATTTTTCTGAGTATGCTACAAATAATACATTTGTGTTGACCTCCCATTTCAATGCCACAGAGTCACCTGCTGTCACCCTGGCTCGGTGCTGACCCGTTAGAGGA